CAGACCAGACACTTGTGTAGTTTCTACATGCCTATAAATTAATTTTTTTAAGTTTCATTTTTAGATTGGCTGCTTTAAAAGTATGTGAACACCCTAACCGGTTTGGCTCAGTGGATAGAGCATTGGCCTGCGGAATGAAAGGTCCTGGGTTCGATTCCGGTCAAGGGCATGTACCTTGGTTGCGGGCACATCTCCAGTAGGGAATGTGCAGGAGGCAGCTGATCGATGTTTCTCTCTCATCGATGTTTCTAACTCTCTATCCCTCTCCCTTCCTCTCTGTACAAAAATCAACAAAATATATTTTATAAATAAATAAATAAGTAAATAAATAAATAAAAGTATATGAACAACAAAGGACAAGTTTTCTAAATTAGTTGTTTTAGCCAATGAAAATGCAATATATTCAGCTAAATTGGGCAACTGGTGATTAGGTTAAACAAAGGATTATATATACAAGAGTATCCACATTGTAGTATATAATGTACATATTTGAAAAGTTTTAATAATGTTAGGGAACATTAACACTTCTGAGTCAATCAGTATCCAGATTTCGTTACTGAGGATATCTCTTCTATAAAAGGTATTTTTGTATTTTATAATTTCAGAGGCTTAATAAATTAAACTGGATTTTATTGACAAATAAGACAGAGTGATTCTATAAATGACGCAGGTGCTAGGCCTCATCAATTTTGTTTATTTAAAATATATATATTTCCTAATTGTGTAATGCCTACTCAGTATGTGGTGAAGTTTAAAGTGTTTTATTTACTAATTACATATACCTCCTTTATGAGTCCTATTACACTATTTACTACAGCTATTTCTAGTTAATTATTTATTAAGATTATGCAAGAGAAAGAGTTTCGTTCTTGAATGGGAAGAGAAACAAAGCTTTGGTTCTTAAGGAAATGACGCCGTTTTATTTTCACAGTGTTAGCTTGATAAATTATCTTTATTATTATTAATTCTGAAGCTGAAAAGAACATTACAACATCATTTGGGACATGCAAAAATCTAATTTGTATAATTCACATTTATAGTAACATCCAACTTAGTAACAGGAAATTTGGGAGTCAGAACATCTTACAATAATAAATGGACATGTCAGGTATCAAAGGAATATATGTGATATGTACTTTTCTGACTATTTTAAGTTTAATCTTTAAAATGAAAAATAGTTTCTTAATAAAATACGTTATACTGTAATTGCCCTCATTGGTCCTCTATTTACAAACATAATAATTGAGAGCATAAAAATTCAACTTAACAATACAAATACTAGCATTCTCCACCATATTACATACATATCATTCACCTCACTCATAAATAACTTCAGAATAACATTATTTAATTCATTCCACAGCATTCATTAAGCTTCTTTATGTACCAGGAATCCACACATATTTATATATATGTGTGTGTGTGTGTGTGTGTGTGTGTGTATGTGTGTGTTTGTATGTGTGTGTGTGTGTGTATCTACACTAATAAAAGACAAACATGAAAATTGACCGTACCCTTGCTATGCCTTAAGCCACACCCACCAACCAATCAGAGCGACTATATTCAAATTAACCCAACCAAGATGGCGGCCAGCAGCCACGGAGCTGAAGCGAGCAGGAGGCTTGGTTTCTCCAGTGATGGAGGAAGCCAAGCTTCCCACTGGCTCTGAGCTCCACTCAAAGCAACAAAGTTTCAATTATAGGAGCTAAACAAACCCCAGATACCTGCTTTCAGTAGGCCGTGGCCTCAGAGCTGGAGCCGGCTATCAGCTCCAGTGACAGCAACGAAGTTTCAGTTATAGAAGGTAAATAAATCCCAGAATAAAAAACAAAAGAAAAAAAGAAGACG